CACCCTGGACACCGGACCCAGAAGGGCCCACACCCTGGACACCGGACCCAGAAGGGCCCTCACCCTGGACCCAGAAGGGCCCACACCCTGGACCCAGAAGGGCCCACACCCTGGACCCAGAAGGGCCCACACCCTGGACCCAGAAGGGCCCTCACCTTGGACACCGGACCCAGAAGGGCCCTCACCCTGGACACCGGACCCAGAAGGGCCCTCACCCTGGACCCAGAAGGGCCCACACCCTGGACACCGGACCCAGAAGGGCCCACACCCTGGACACCGGACCCAGAAGGGCCCACACCCTGGACACCGGACCCAGAAGGGCCCACACCCTGGACACCGGACCCAGAAGGGCCCACACCCTGGACACCGGACCCAGAAGGGCCCACACCCTGGACACCGGACCCAGAAGGGCCCACACCCTGGACACCGGACCCAGAAGGGCCCACACCCTGGACACCGGACCCAGAAGGGCCCACACCCTGGACACCGGACCCAGAAGGGTCCTCACCCTGGACACTGAACACAGCTGGCCCTCATTCCGGACACCAACCACCAAGCCGGAGGCTCGGATACACATGAGCTCAGTTGAGGTCTGTATAAACCTGATAAATCCCATGGGAGTGGATACTGACATGGAGCCTGTACAAACAGGAGTCGTAGAAACAGTCATAACAGTTGGAGTGAACACGGCTGTAAAAGCCAGCAGAGTGAGAGTGGCTGAGAGACGTGCCGACACAGAGGAGACATGTTTATGAGGCCACGGGGACTGATGCACTGCAGACACACTACTGTAGTCTGGGTCTTACCGAGCCAGTGGTGGCTGAGAGACTGAGCTGGTGGGGGACTCAAAACCAGCCCGCGTCGTCTCCTGCTTAAAACACATTCTGGGGGCTGAGTAGGCAGAAAGCTAAACAGCAAACGGGTCATTTTCGAATCTCAACCGCAATGTAGACCCAGAGGAAAATAGCTATTCGTCTCACCCGAACCCCTACGGTCGGTCCATCGAGATTTCCGAATGAGATATTAAAAGTGTAGGTAGCAATTAGCATAAATACAGAGCCTAGAAAGTGGGAAACATTTTCAGTTGTTGTGGCGCCTCAGAGTCTTATTGATTTCCATTAGGATTGTTTTTCCACTTATATAAACCTATGCTACACTCCACGAAGGACATTGATTTCTTGTGGTAAAATTGAATTACATATTAAAATATATAAACGAAACAATTCTAACGGAATAATTTTCCGACACCTGGGTGATTGCTTTAAACTCCATCAAAATCAAATTAATTGATCTCCAGCTGTGTGAGATTGTGGTGATTCCGTTGCGATTCCGTAGCAATTCCGTTGCGATTCCGTTGCATTGTTTCAGGAGAGATTTGGTGGCATCTGTTGGTTCCCTGTGTTGGGAAGTGAACTGCAAAGCGAACATTAAAACATGAGAGCTAAGGAGCTTTAACAAGTACTAGTGTTGAAGTTGAAGGGATGATTATGAAGATTTCAAAGGTCTTGAATTCCCAAGCCTAGATCTGGTCATCCCTCCAAACTGGATAAGAGACTGATCAAAGAGACCAGCAGAGCTACCGGCTCAGGCAGAGCTACCGGCTCAGGCAGAGCTACCGGCTTTTATAAGCAAATCTGGTAAAAGCAACAATATAGAGACTCCCCAAACCTATCCAGCATGGTAGAATAAAGAACTGACCTCATTCAATCCACTAGTCAATTGGCTGTTGGTCAACAGATTTGTTTTTGGCTAGTATTCGCATGACCAGATGATCCCCATCTAATTCTTGCCTGTGCCAGCTGACTACAGCATTACTGAGGACACTGGAATGACATATTCAACCAATCACAAACATTGGTACTGTATGCGAGGCCAAGCCCAACATCGCCAGGTGTTCTTTATTGCACACTGCACGTAAGCGTAGTTGTAGACAAAAATGTATGTCATTGTCCCTGTGGAGAACAGTGGGGATGGCCTGTCCCTGTGGAGAACAGTGGGGACGGCCTGTCCATGTGGAGAACAGTGGGGACGGCCTGTCCATGTGGAGAACAGTGGGGACGGCCTGTCCATGTGGAGAACAGTGGGGACGGCCTGTCCATGTGGAGAACAGTGGGGACGGCCTGTCCATGTGGAGAACAGTGGGGACGGCCTGTCCATGTGGAGAACAGTGGGGACGGCCTGTCCCTGTGGAGAACAGTGGGGACGGCCTGTCCATGTGGAGAACAGTGGGGACGGCCTGTCCATGTGGAGAACAGTGGGGACGGCCTGTCCATGTGGAGAACAGTGGGGACGGCCTGTCCATGTGGAGAACAGTGGGGACGGCCTGTCCATGTGGAGAACAGTGGGGACGGCCTGTCCATGTGGAGAACAGTGGGGACGGCCTGTCCCTGTGGAGAACAGTGGGGACGGCCTGTCCATGTGGAGAACAGTGGGGACGGCCTGTCCATGTGGAGAACAGTGGGGACGGCCTGTCCATGTGGAGAACAGTGGGGACGGCCTGTCCATGTGGAGAACAGTGGGGACGGCCTGTCCATGTGGAGAACAGTGGGGACGGCCTGTCCATGTGGAGAACAGTGGGGACGGCCTGTCCCTGTGGAGAACAGTGGGGACGGCCTGTCCATGTGGAGAACAGTGGGGACGGCCTGTCCATGTGGAGAACAGTGGGGACGGCCTGTCCATGTGGAGAACAGTGGGGACGGCCTGTCCATGTGGAGAACAGTGGGGACGGCCTGTCCATGTGGAGAACAGTGGGGACGGCCTGTCCATGTGGAGAACAGTGGGGACGGCCTGTCCATGTGGAGAACAGTGGGGACGGCCTGTCCATGTGGAGAACAGTGGGGACGGCCTGTCCATGTGGAGAACAGTGGGGACGGCCTGTCCATGTGGAGAACAGTGGGGACGGCCTGTCCATGTGGAGAACAGTGGGGACGGCCTGTCCATGTGGAGAACAGTGGGGACGGCCTGTCCATGTGGAGAACAGTGGGGACGGCCTGTCCATGTGGAGAACAGGCTTCAGGCTGCAGTGTCCTGTCATTTCCAGGCCCTGATAGTCTGCCATGCACTATGGTTGAATATACTTAATGACTTGGGTGCCTGTGTTCATTAAAATGTATTCAACTTGTACTTTCAAAACCACTCATGAATATGATTTTTATTTTAATATAATGAATGAGATTTGGACTAGAACGCAGTTACAAAACCAATGACCGCACCGCATTGTTAGTTTAGTGGGAAAAAAGCCATGCTACCCAATAAAACGGTTCTATTGCGACATGGTCCTTTTATGAGTTTAGATATTTTTCCTGAAGTTAGTCATTACTGTTTAGCGACAGATATCTCTTTTTGATATAATATTAAATATGTTTTTTTAAAAAGAAAAACCATTGCTTAAGAATACATTTGTGAAAAGCACTTTCAAATAAAATACTGATTAAATACTATGTATTAAACACTGGCTATGAGTATCACAGTAAAAAGACAATTGCACAAAAACCAAATAGAAAACCACAACACTGCCCTCTGCTGGGGACTTCACATAGGTACATCAACAGCACAGATATCACTTAGGTTTGTGAAAAAAGAGTTTGACTAGATAACAGTGTGTGTGTGTGTGTGTGTGTGTGTGTGTGTGTTCTTACCCTGAGTGAGGGTCTTGAGGATAATGAGAGAAGAGAGGATGCGTGTGAGGGGACATGGGCTCCTGTAGAGAGAAAGGGGGTCCCTGGACTCCGAGGGGCTGAAAGGGTCTATCTGCTGGGTTGGACCCCTGGACACCACCTCCCCCAGGCGCCGCAGAGTGGATGACAGAGCCATACGCTATGTGTGCACACACACAGATTATTTTTGGCATTGTGGTTCAAACTCTACATGTTGCCATAATACAACAGCATGTGATTCCAGTTTAAAAACTGTCCTGACACACACACACACATATTTTAGTTGTGTGTGTTGGATAGCATCTATCCTTGTTATTGACTCTCTGGGCTAAACAAGCCCATTGATAACCAGATGGCAAAGCTGAGGTCTGGTTTGGTAAGACAGCTGTTCCCCAGCCTGTTTTAATGTACCCCACACTAATAAACCCCACACTGGCCAGTCCAGAAGAAACCAGGCCAACAAGCAGGAGTATGGAAAATAATACATTTGTATTTTTTATGGAGGGTTGTAGAGGGTTGGATTGTGGTGGAGTACCGTGGAGAGTGGGGGGTGTAGTGTGGTGGAGTGTTGGGGAGGGGCTCGTTTGTTACCTGTGAGCCGTTGTCAATCTCTGTCAGGCTCCAGTATATAAACCTGATCAGGGACAAGGTGACCAAAGGTTCTGATGCTGCACAGGACTGCTGAAGCTGCTCTACCAGCAGAGGCAACACCTACACACAGGACAACAACAACACAATACAGTAAACAACAAACACTACAACACACAGGACAACAACAACACGTTACAGTACACAAATAACACTACAACACACAGGACAACAACACATTACAGTAAACAAATAACACCTACTCACAGGACAACAACAACACATTACAGTAAACAAATAACACTACAACACACAGGTCAACAACAACACATTACAGTAAACAAATAACACTACAACACACAGGACAACAACAACACAATACAGTACACAAATAACACTACAACACACAGGACCACAACAACAACAAGACATTACAGTACACAAATAACACTTCAACACACAGGGCAACAACACAACACAATAACATCATAAAGACACATTGAGATCCGACACAGTTCACTCCCCACACCTTAGTGCACCTGTCATGAAGTGAAAACCCAGAGGATATGTTCTTTTGACCCGGGGCTGTAATGCGGTCTCCTCCTACTGGTGGAAACGCCTGTCCGTCTAAAACCCAGTCCAATAGCAAAGCCTGCAGCCTTAGAGGGGAGGAACTGACACTGACCTGTGGAATGACATTTTAGATTTTACGCCCTGATCCAGAATCACAATAACAATTACATTCAATTTCAACACAGACCTTGGTGGGAATGGAACCCACACCCTCTGGCATTGCAAAAGCCATGCTATACAAACTCAGCTACACAGGACCAAATACAACAACAAGAAACGCTTTATGTTCTCATCATCGTTATACATGTTTAGAGTCTGACCAACTCATTCTGTCCAACTAAAGCATTTTCTAAAGGAGCACATTAAAATGCAATTAAGGGGTAACAAGTAGAACAGCCACTGTTAATTAGGTATAGCTGCATTATTACAGAGTCACCATCAGGATATAGGGTTTGAGAGGCTGCACTAGTTTACATCACAGATAATTAACTAATCACACAGCTGCCAGCACTAACCCGCCACAGAAAACGTGCACGTACACACGCACACGCCGACGCACACGCTATATCATGTTCACATACTCTAGCTGGTTTGGAGGTAGAGCCTGTCTGCGGTTTAGGTTTGGACTCGGAGGTCTTCGGACAAACTTTCTCTCTCCCTGCCTGCGCCATGGTGTTCTCATACTTTCTCTGGAGAGAAAGAAAATAACATGAAAATAAACTGAGCGTTTGTCAAAGGATATTTCAACCATACACCATCTGGTTGTCTGTCTACTTACCTGAAGGTTCTCTAGCCGAGCCTGGACCTTTCTCGACTGGTTCTCCAGACGCTTGTTCTGCTCACTCAGATCATTCAGCTGAATAGAATAATTAACAAAATAACATACAGTACATATTCTGTCCTAACAATCATTAGTGGCTAAAATACAAACTAATTTCACTTGACCAAAGCACATTTAATAGCCGCACCATACCAGACACAGAAAAGCAGGGTAGAAACATGTGTTACAATCACACAGGGTGTGGCGCAGGGAGTATTAAATAACACAAACAATCTTTGTAATTTATTTTCTCCTCTCAGATACCGTTTTACTTGGTTTCTAAGAGGTCTACTATGACTTATTAAAGACAATCACAGTAACAGTAACGACATAAAGACTTTTCCAGCACATATGAGGGTAGACACTGTCACATGACATGAGGAGATAGATGCTTGCCTGCTTCTTCATGGTGTCGTTTAGTTCCTTGATGGAGTTGAAGCTGGACATTAACCTCTTGTTGTCTCTGGTTTTCTCCCTTAGCTGGTCGTGTAGCTGTCTCACCTCTTCATCACAGCTCTGATAGAATATACATGGGAATGTATCAGGACCATATATGCAGTGTGTGTGTGCGTGTGTGTGGTTGGGGGTGTACCTCCTGCTGTAACAGTCTGTTCTCTCTGTCCTCTAGCTGGACCGTCCACTGCTGCTGTCTCAAACGCTCTGTCTGTAATTGTTGGTAGATGTGTAGCATCTCCTGGTATATTTGGCCCATCGCCTCCGGACAGAGAACAGAGGAGGACTGCCGTCTCACCACATTACCCCCCGTCTCGTGCCTGTCCTCCCCTCCGGACAGACCTGCAGTAGGCTCAGTTTCACCAGAGCCCAAGCTACAGCCCAGATTGGAAGGCAGGGTCACATCTGGAAACAGATTCACCCAATCCCTGTTTTCATTGTCATGTGCATTTAATACTATTGACACCATTTAGCAGACCGAAATATTATTATAAAAAGACAATTCCTGAAACAGACTGAATGTGACCAGTCCCACACACACATACCGGCCTCTGAGTATTGGGTCTGCGTTTCCAGGAGAGGGCAGGATGTGTCGTTCTCATCATCACTGTAAACCTGACTGCAGTCACTGTCAAACCTAAGAAAGCACAAAGGTGAGATACGATGCTGAGTGTCTATTTTACCTGGCCGATCTGCCACAGCACATATGTGGCATTAGCTTTTCAAATTAATGTAATCTGTAGTCTGTAGTGTTGATGTTCTACGGAAATGACCTGTCTGGAGGGTTGTTGACAGCCTGGAACAGTTCTTGGAGAGCTCTGTTGTAAACGCTCAACTCTCTGGTGTTGCATGGTATCACCTTCACAACACTCTGCTCTCCATAGCAGCGTCTCCCATTCAGATTAACTGCTTTCTGCTCCGTGCAGACCTGACATGCAGCATGAGAAGTTAGTTACACAGCGAGCATGTTCAGTGACTTCATGAGCTTACTTTATATGGTAATTTATTTACATATGGAACAGATAGTTCGCGTGTTTCCTTGGTAACGAGGAGCCCAGCTGTTAGCTTGCCAACCTGCATTTGTTTGCAAACGTTAGCTACAGGCTAGCTAATATATGCGCTGGGTAAATACAAAACCGGACAACTAACCTTTTTTCGCTGCAGATATTTCATTTTCAACCGTTCCACCGTAACGTCCACGTTATTTTCGGCCGATTCTTGGCTCATTCTGTGGTTTTTAGATACACCGATTGTTGTTGTTGTTTTTTCAACGAAATCCGAAGTTAACCAGCAACAGGCAACCTGCTGTACATTTGAATTATGTGCGTGCTTAATAAAACCGGAAATGAGACATCTGCAGAACCAACCGTCAACCGGAAGAGGGCGCCCTTACACAGGTACTTACCGTGTCCGTGACCCAAACGAGCCCCTTCGCTCGCCCCAAGCAGCACTAACTGAGTGCCCTCTACGACATGTTGCTGACGAAAATACAAAGGGGACTAGTTGCAAATCTATGAACTCAGGTTAAACTTATCATAATTAAAACATGCATGCAATGCAAACTAACAAATCACACTTTGAGAAGGTTTTAGAATAACCAAACCAGCAACAGTTATTAATTGCATTGAGCTGGTAATTTATGTCGTACACACGTGTCAGTCTTGAAGTCTGAAATAATCAGATGTAGGTGTCCTACTACAGCTGTACGCAGCTTTTCCCGGTTTTTGCATTCCACTGTGATATTTTCCTGTAATCAGCTCCTTCTCAATTTCCAAAGCCATCACAAATGTAAAAATAAAACGACATACGAATGCAATTTTTAGTCCGATCCCCTAAACAAATGCAATTAATGTCCTTATTTCTTTAAATGTATTTTTTAAGATAGCTAAAAGTTTAAATAGCATCCAGCAGCAAACCCAGCTATGACTAAACAGCCCCTCTCACTAGACAATGTAATGTCCGCCTCGTCTCTTCCTGATCCATTGTTGCTAAAACCATCTCTGTCTTTTTCCTACAGCCTCCATCAGCAGACCCGCCTCTCGCTAAACACCATGCACTAGTAACCAACACAATGACGTAATTCGCCTTATTCGGACTAGCTCTCGCTAAAATTATCTCGCTAAAATTATTCGCTTCGGAAAATTATCATTTTCCGAAGCGAATTCATCTAGACACATCTTTTCACTTGTATTTTATTGCAATTTGCAATTCTTAAAAAAACTTTATTTTTCATATAATGTCACTATTCCTTATTTTTTCCTACATCTGTTAACTAACGCTAAAACTGTATAGCCTCCACAATAAACTGTTCAAGATCGTCTCACGTTTAGACTATTCCCAATAGGCTTCCTCCTGGAGACAAACGGATCGGATATTTTTTTCCGATCATATAATAATCTCTTATTTTGTAACTTTGATACCCACTTCAGGTAACCTCTTTATTATGCCCGGTAAACCATTCATCTGAAGACGCTTTTTCACGTTAAAAATGCAGGCATTAATTAACCTAGGCACTGAAAATCTGCATTCATGTGTTCTCTTTTAAATAATTCATTCTCTTGAAATAAGAAAGTTCTCAGGGATGATCTTTATTTATTTTTTGATTAAAACTACCTATTGTTGTTGTTGCTGTAATGTTTTTGTGTTTGAAAGTCGATTAATAAGATCAAGAAAAAAATTAAAATAGTGAAGATAATTAATCTTGTTTTTTTAAACATGAGAAGTCTGATTCCAGAAATAGGCTATCCGTAGGTTAAATATTGCTAGTGTTATTATGAATAGAATGTTAACAGCTATTGTGAGATTTTTTACAAGAAATTACATCGCCCCAGCTCTCTGGAATCCACAGATACAGTGCCTTGCGAAAGTATTCGGCCCCCTTGAACTTTTCGACCTTTTGCCACATTTCAGGCTTCAAACATAAAGATCTAAAACTGTAATTTGTTGTGAAGAATCAACAACAGGTGGGACACAATCATGAAGTGGAATGAAATTTTTGTATATTTCAAACTTTTTAACAAATAAAAAACTGAAAAATTGGGCGAGCAAAATTATTCAGCCCCTTTACTTTCAGTGCAGCAAACTCTCTCCAGAAGTTCAGTGAGGATCTCTGAATGATCCAATGTTGACCTAAATGACTAATGATGATAAATAAAATCCACCTGTGTGTAATCAAGTCTCCGTATAAATGCACCTGCTCTGTGATAGACTCAGAGGTCCGTTTAAAGCACAGAGAGCATCGTGAAGAAGGAACACACCAGGCAGGTCCGAGATACTGTTGTGGAGAATTTTAAAGCCGGATTTGGATACAGAAAGATTTCCCAAGCTTTAAACATCCCAAGGAGCACTGTGCAAGCGATACTATTGAAATGGAAGGAGTATCAGACCACTGCAAATCTACCAAGACCCGGCCGTCCCTCTAAACTTTCAGCTCATACAAGGAGAAGACTGATCAGAGATGCAGTCAAGAGGCCCATGATCACTCTGGATGAACTGCAGAGATCTACAGCTGATGTGGGAGACTCTGTCCATAGGACAACAATCAGTCGTATACTGCTCAAATCTGGCCTTTATGGAAGAGTGGCAAGAAGAAAGCCATTTCTTAAAGACATCCATAACAAGTGTTGTTTAAAGTTTGCCACAAGCCACCTGGGAGACACACCAAACATGTGGAAGAAGGTGCTCTGGTCAGATGAAACCAAAATTGGTAACAATGCAAAACTTTATGTTTGGCGTAAAAGCAACACAGCTCATCACCCTGAACACACCATCCCCACTGTCAAACATGGTGGTGGCAGCATCATGGTTTGGGCCTGCTTTTCTTCAGCAGGGACAGGGAAGATGGTTAAAATTGATGGGAAGATGGATGGAGCCAAATACAGGACCATTCTGGAAGAAAACCTGATGGAGTCTGCAAAAGACCTGAGACTGGGATGGAGTTTTGTCTTCCAACAAGACAATGATCCGAAACATAAAGCAAAATCTA